GAGTGCCCTTGCACAGAGCATAACCCAGTGCTGCCCGGCTCCGTGGTCACCATCTCTATGGGCCTCAGTTGGCTGGGGCCACCGGGTCCGTCCATGCAGGCAGGCTCCGTGAGTGGACCTCCCACTGGAGCAGGTGACCTCCTTTTGAGCCATCTCTCTTCCTCACGAGTCCAGAGTGCCCTGTGGGAGCTTCCAGGGTCTTTCTACTAAGACCCGCCCCTCTGGCATTCTGCGGACTGGTCACCACATGGGCACCAGCACGGGCACCAGCACATCACAGGCACCATCCCTCAGAGCACCCGTCCACTCTGCCCTTTCAGCCAAGGTCAGGGCACAACTGTCACCCGCTCAGAAAGCCTCGACAGGAGTGTGTGGCGGGGCACCTTGGTGTCCAAGGGGTCTTTTTGCTGCTTAAAACGTTAAAGGTTTGTTCTTTTCCCTTCCTGGGAAGGACACTTCGTGGTGAATCAGGTGAGGGTTTGCACAGCCGAGTCTGAGCTTTGTCCAGTAACTCCCACAGAGCTTGTTTCAGCTCCTTATCCCCTTACACACCTGACAATGGGTTGTGTGTGTGTGTGTATGTGTGTGTGTGTGTGTGTGTGTGTGTGTGTGTGTGTGTGCGCGCGCGCGCGCGCCTTCCCAGATCGCCGGCTGACTCGGGCCATGGTCTTGGTGTGACCAGTCGGCCTGCAAGCTCAGCACGTGGAGGTTTTGCTCCACCTTCTCTCCCCCCGGGTCCAGGACGTTGAGAGCAGTGGGCAGCGGTGGCCTGTGCTGTTTGGAATCCCGCTTGCCGCTTTCCCTACCACCGACACCATCAGGGTGTCACACTGCAGTGGCTGGCTATGACACCCTGTGAAGCCGGACGCTGTGCCGACCACAGTCACACTCTTGGCCAGGGTCACTCCTGGTGTCCGGGTTTCAGTGGTGCTTCCAGCCTCAGACAGACTAGGAAGAAAGGCCTGGTGACCTGAGGATGACACTCAGCCAATGGGAACCCTGTAAATCACAGCATGACCTTGCCCAGTGCAGCCCCGTGGGTAGGGCAGCACTCAGGATGCACAGCGGCGTAACCATGGATGATGGGCGGGGCTGGGCAGGGCGGTATTTTGCTCTTATGTAGGGAGGGGTGCTGCGCGAGTCAGGTTCAGGCCAGCAAACTGCAAGCAAGAAGAGCCTCTCGGTTCTCAACGTCACAACGCCCACGTGTCATTCTAAAGAAGCTGGGTGGCACACAGCAGTTTCCGGTTAGGGTCAACGGTGGTTCAAACCCACCCAGAGGCTCCATCGAAGAAAGGCCTGGCAACCCAAAGGGCCAGACACCCGACGGGGCAGTTCCACCTCGCGACACTCCGTGTCGGGTTGCCATGTGAGCACTTTCAGCTGCGGTGGGCTGCTAGTGGCAAGGTCAGCAGTTCTAAACTGTCAGCTGCTCACCGGGAGAAAGGTGAGGCTCTCTGCTCCCATCAAGAGTGACAGTCCCAGAATCCCACAGGGCAGCCCTGCCCTGACCTGTAGGGTCACCATGAGTCACAATGAACTCCATGGTGATGAGTTGTTTTTGTTTGGGCTTGAGCTGATTTGGGCTCAAACAGATGATGGCAAAGGGTTGGATAGGCTGTCTGCCTGACTGAATGCCAACCGTCAGCTTCCTCCTCTGAGCGGCTGGTGGGTTTGAATCTCGGACCTTTGAGCTAGCCCCAAAGCAAGACCAGAGTTCCTTACATCATTAAAAATCCCAAACCAAACTCTGATCCCAGGGCACAGCAATCCGATCCGAAATAAGGTTCCGGAGACTGTAAATCTTTATGGGAGCTGGTAGCCTCATTGTTCTCTCTGGGAGCGGCTGGTGGGTCTGAACCACCAATGTTAGCCGCTCGCAGCCCAAAACCAAAACCACAGTGCCACCAGGGTGCCTTCGACCACTAGATATAAGAATAACCAATTTATCTCAAAGGATGGCACTGAATCTGCAGCTTCGGGAGAAGGATATATCTGACCAGAGCACACAGGAGCAGATGACAGGGGAGGAGGAGAGACTGGAGCACATC